GCTATCCATCTAAATATATTATACTGGCCATGGAGGTTGGAGAGATAGACTTTTATAGAGTTAGGCTTTTATAGAGTTTCAGCTAAAGGGAGTGCTGATGACTAAAGATTTTTGCTTGATTAGTGTTTGTTATTATTAGGTGAGCTTCCACCTACTACATAAGCCATGCCTGCTTGGTTGGAAGACTTACAGAAACCATTTCTCAGTTGGATGAAGCAAGAAAATAAGACAGAAACTTTGAGATTTTAACTTGGTGGGGAGGAGAATGCTTTCAATTGAGCAATGCAGCATTTGGGGAAGTGGATGCTACTGTAAAGATATTTTTAAGCTAGGACTTTATCACATGGGCAAAAAAGACAGGATAATAGTGCTATGCTCCTGTCAAAATCTTGCAATAAGGGGATACTTTTCACACAAAGTCACACAACATCATCATTATCATGCCATTATCCTGTGAATAACGTGGCAAAATCATGCTGCTTTTCATTCATAACAAAACCCCATGAATAAAGCGACAAAATTACACCACTTTTTATTTACGGCAAAATCCCAAAATAAAAGTGGTGCAATTTTGCTGCTTTATAATATAATATAATATAATATAATATAATATAATATAATATAATATAATAATATGATAATGGCAATGCTGTGTGAAAAGCATCCCGTTATTGCAAGATTTTGGCAGGAGTATACTGCTATTATCCTATCTCTTTTGCCTGTGTAATAAAGTTCTTTGATTATGACTACTTTCTTCTCCCAGTCAATACAATAAACAACAATTACAGGAGGAAAGAATACTGACAAGTTCTTTTATTATTTGTATATATCAGAGCTTGGAACTAGATTTGACACAATCCTCTGCATGGTGAAGGAAGTGCAAAAGCATCTTACCCAATGATCTCATCATACAAGTAGGTTGATGCATCTGATATCCGGGACTTAAGCTGTTAAGGTCTTTAAAGGTAAGAACCAGCAGCATGAATTGAGAGCTTACTGAATCTGATTAAGCCCTGGTGAAGTATAATCATGTTGTCAGGCTTCTTCACCAAACTCACTGCTGCATCATGAACCAAATACATTTTTAGGTCCTTTTGTGAGTAGCACCAGGAAAAGTACACATTTCCACTGTCTAGTCTTCAGAAAATCAAGGATGAGCTTATTTCCCAAATTGTCTGAAGCTGTGCTTCCCAAGGAAGTGCAACCACATCTGGAACAGGATAACCTCCTGCTATCAGCACCTCCTTCTTGACAGGATTAAGCTTCACTTAGGGCCTTTACAGACTGCCATAAATAGTGCAACTTGAGGCCACTTTAACTGTCCATAAATAGTGCAACTTGAGGCCACTTTAACTGTCCTGGCTCAGTACTAAGGAATCATGGGAACTTTAGTTTATTGTAGCACCAGAGCATTGATAGAGAAGGCTCAATGTCCCAGAAAAAAAAATACAATTCCCATGA